TTTCAAAAAATTATGAATGATATTTTCAATCCTTTTCAAGATTTTATCATTACTTACATTGATGATGTTTTAATCTTCTCTGAAAGTATTGAAAAACATTTCAAACATTTGCATACATTCATTCATGTTATCAAACAAAATGGTTTGGCTGTCTCAGCTAAAAAGATTATTTTGTGTCAAACAAAAATAAGGTTCCTTGGTCATAATATTCAATTAGGAACACTTACACCAATTCAAAGAAGTTTAGATTTCACTTGCAAATTTCCTGATGAAATTTTAGACAAAAATAGCATTCAAAGATTTTTAGGTTGCGTCAATTATGTTGGAGATTTTATCAAAGAGATAAGAATCATATGTGCACTTTTATTCAAAAGACTGAAAAAGCACCCTGACCCATGAACTCACGAGTGTACAATTGCAGTCCAAAAAGTCAAAAAAACTATCAAAAGCATTCATTGCCTTTCTATCATTGACCCAAATGCCTCTATTATTGTTGAGACAGATGCGTCAGATATTGGGTATGGTGGGGTCCTCAAACAAATTCCTTCCAAAACAAGCCAAGAACAATTGGTCAAATTTCATTATGGTGTCTGGTCAGGTTCTCAAAAGAATTACTCCACTATCAAAAAGGAGATTCTTGCAATCGTACTTGTCATTTCAAAATTTCAAGATGATTTGATTAATAAAAATTTTATTCTCAAAATAGATTGTAAAGTTTCAAAAGATGTCTTGCAAAAAGACGTAAAAAAACCTTGTTTCAAAACAAATCTTTGCAAGATGGCAAGCAATGCTTTCTTGCTTTGATTTTCAAATACTATATATACAAGGATCTTCAAACTTCCTTACAAACTTCCTCATAAGGGAATTTTTTCAGAGTGAAAGGGAGAGGGAAGAGAAAAAATGAGTTCTTTTGAAAAGAAAAAGAACAAACACTCAATTACCATTAATTTCAATTGATGATTATCTTTCAGGATCATCTTCTTAAAATTCTCAAAAAACTACCCTTACTTCAAAAATTTCAACCCATCCTGCACAGCAAAAAACCCAAACACCTTCAAATTTCAAAAAAGCTCTTCAAAATGGAACTGGAAATTTATTAGAAATTAATCCATCTCAAAGAACCTTTTCATACTTCACAAAACCTTGTTACGATTCGGTTTGTGAAATGGAAATTTCATGAATTCATCGATACACTTGCCTTGATGAATGCCTTGAAGATCTTTTCCCCAAAAATTTTCAATTTTTCCCATTAAACATCAAAAAATCTCGTGAGTATTTCGAGACGATCCATGTCAAAAGTAGATCAGCAATTATTACTCACACGCCGAATGCTCAAAATAAAAATCATATCGATTTTTCAAAAATTTCAATTCAAAGGGTTTGGTCTTATGAAGACTGGGGGACCAGTCCATGGAATGAGAAGAAAATGAATTTATCTAAAGATATTTCATTTGAATCTCGTTTTAATTATTTTGACTATATCAATGCATGGTCTAATGTCTTTTACTTTAGACCAGTAACGCATTCCTGGTTTATTCTTTTCAACCAGACCTGTTCAAATAATTTCCAAAATAGTTTCAAACATGGTTCAAATTTTTTGGACTTGAAGAGACTATTTTACCTAATCTTACTCTTCAAGGATTCGAACATTTCAAAAAAGAGGCAAAAACATTTTTGAAGCCTCAAGAAAATCTTTTGTTTCAATTTGCTCATAATCTCAAAGTTTCTTGGATTTTCTGTTGGGACTTTCAAATTATTCAAAATCCTGGCAGCGAATTCAATGTCAAAAAGATTGCTCGACGATTCAAAGTGAAATGGTGGACATGTTGTTGTCCAAAAGCAGTCAATTCATGGATTCAAGAACAAAGGAACATTGGCCTCCCTTCAAAGAAAGAACAAGAAAAATCTGCCGATTTCCTTACTGAAAAAATCAAGATTAATTGTTATGCTTAATCAATGCAAAACTCTAGAAGAACTTTCAGTTATTTCTGAAAAAATTGCTAATTTAGAAGAAGCAACTTCAAAGAAATCAAAATCAGAAAATTCAAGCGAAGAATCAGATCATGCCAATGATAATGAAGATGATTGTTATGGGTATGATATTGATGACCTCATCAATCAAGAAAATTTGATGAATACTAAATGACTATATGACCATAGTTATTTAGATGAATTTCAAAGATCCCGTTCTCAACAAGCCAAAGATTTCATGTTCAAGATGTGCTTGCCAGCAAACAAATTGTTTCTACCGCCCTTGCCGACATTCAAAGGACAATCATCTTTTCAAAAAGCCGGGAATGATGGAGAATAATTCAAAAAAGCAAAAGTTACGATGGAGAATAATTCAAAAAAGCAAAAGTTACTTTCTCAAAAGGCATTCAAAAGAGCAATCAAGTATCAAGTTGAAGAC